TTATGCCTGGTTCTAGTTTTGCCGGACTTTCAGCTCACCCTGTATATCTCTCAGAGATATAAAAATATATATTAAAAAAAAAATATAGAAAGAAAACGAGCAAATATTTTGAATATATGAGAGCGAAAAGTACGCACTTAAGATTTGAATGTGCAAACGCGGTATTTTCCGTGCAAGTTTGGCAACGCGGAGTGTCCCTGCAGAGAGGGATCGGCGGGCAGTCGAGGAACGCGAATCCCTGAGGGACCTGCCGGCTAGTTTACACGCTGGGAAAGAGTCGAGCTTGGGCGTCTCATCCCTGCATCCCTGAGCAGACGCCCTCGGCCCTCGGCCCGTGCACTTGCCGCGATCTCGGAACACATGTGCGCTCAATTAGAACTCTATTTACCACTTACCCTCCCGTACTCACCCTCCACCCCTCGCCATTCGCCACTCAGGCGCTTAACCTTGCCCATTTAGCTTATTGAAAAATATTTACATCGACACCCTCCTGCCCTCCTCCTCTCGCCTCGCAAGTGCAAGTGCATTCCTCCGAGTTCGATCGGAGCAGGATGGGGTTAGCCTTATTCCGGGCTTACAATGTCATCTCATAGAATCTTGTTCAAAATCCTTGTATGATTTGCAAGCTGGTTATTGACATTGATAGACAAAGCGTTGGATAAAAAAAAAAAACAAAAAAAACCATGGAGCTATCCTATCGATCGAAAGGGGTGGTTGTCATAGATCAAGGGGGATGATGATGAACTATAGCTATATGTAGAATTTCTCTTGAGTATGTCTTGAGTTGCCGCGGCAGTTAGTATAATCTTTACCTCCTTTGTTACGATCTGTGGGCTGATAAAAATAGCATTAGTGAATGGACAATTTATTATTGAGTCTTGATTACAACTCAGCAGAGTAACTTCGGGAATGAACCTTTGAAACGGGGGTTTCAGTGGTTTTCCTCCCCAAAAATAAAAATACGAAACAAGAGACAATTTTGTAGGTTTTGACAATTTTAGGTAAGTTTGCACTTACTTTAAACTTTGTGATAACAATGAATTTTTCCTCCGTATCTTAAACATTTTTCAATAGGAAGTCCACTGCATATATCGGGGACCTAGTAAAAGCAAAATTTTTACTGTAAAAACTCAATTTTTGCCTCATCTCTAATTTCAATAAGACATACCAAGAAGCAGAAGCATGGTCAAGGGATGGCAATGCAGGGGACAAGACCTTTCCTCTCTTTGACCTGGATTTTTGCCCGAAAGTGTTTATTTTCTAAGAATTCATCACCTTTGAACCGTCCCTTCCTTCCTGTAAATACTTTGTTTACCGTAGACTACCCATACGCAAAATGAAACATCTAAAATGAAATTTTAAACTTTTTCATACTTTGGAAGAGTAAAAACATTTGCCTTCCACCAAACTAATTCTATTTCATCGAAGAGTATTTTTATTCAAGCTTCAACGCTTGTATTTGCATTTTTGAAGATAAAGTCTGATTCGAACTTATCCCTCCTGATCATTAGCTGACAAATTAAAATGGGAAATAATTGAATCGGGGTTTGCGAAAACCGCTAAAGTCCATTTTTCCAGTCTTCAGTTTCTTTGAGTTTACAATACTTTTCGGAGTTGGATGTATTACCACGGAAGTAATGTCCGGGTTAACTTAATCCCAAAACGAGTCCTTTCATCACTTTTAAGGTTGTATCAACTCTTTAAAAGTATTATCAACTCAAAGAACTGAAGACTGGGAATACGGACATTAGCGGTTTCCGCACGTCCCAATTCAATTTAAGTTCCGTGTGAAAAAATTCAACTGACAATAAATTCATCGCCTCGATTCCATTCTGAAGTTGATTGGAACTTGAATGGGGTCAGACAAAGTCCGAAGTATAAGACAACGTCACAAGTTCCCTCTTCAGAATCTTACATAGAAAACAATTTACACTCCAGGAAATTGTGAAATTAACTCCTGAATGAGAAATTAACAAGTCGCCATTACACAAATGACGTCGTTTGTATTTTTGCTATTTAACCAATTTTAATAGAAAACACTTATATCTTATTCAGGTGTTGATTCTCAGATTCCTCATTGTGTGATTCGTTTTTCTTGTGGAATTTTGACGAGAAAACCCGTAGCTCTCTGCTTTAATTTATACTTTGTCCAGAGGCCCACTGTTCCGCGTTTAATGCTCAAATTGCTGGAGCTTCGCTACAACTTCAAAACCATTTCTGGTCGAAGATATACAGTTGCTTAAAAATTCGAATATAGATGGGATTTTTTGCAGATCTGGTTTTAAAAAACCGTATGTTGAATTTTAATTCTGTAAATATCAACCGGAACCTAAAATTCAGTGAGAATTTCACTAAGTCCAGACTGTATTGTTATATTAGGGCGCGATTCTCACATGAAAATGTATGGAAAAACGCGTTTGAAAATTGAAAAACAATTCCAGGAAGGTCTCATCAGTTAAAATATTGTGTTAAAGTTAGAGTAGAAGATAGAATGATCTTCAGTTGCTGCAGACCTCTATCATATATATCGGGTGTCATTCTCATTAGTGGTCTTAAAGTCATGAGCTATGGAGACTTCCATATGTCTGTACATAGCGATACATAGGTTTGACTTTTTTTAAATATTTTTCGAAAAATGACGACATGACAACACTGTCCTGCACCCTCAACTTTTGCGCTGGGGAAACGAGTTGAAAATTGAATATTTATCATTGCACAGGGCAAACTGAACATGGCGGAAGAACTAATTAACACCGGTCAACGCATGTCGAATTCGTTTTTAATAAAGGCATAATGTCAAAAACGCTACCGAATTAAAACTGCACAAAATGAATTCCCAATGACATCACTGTGACATGTGCAGTGTTCGCCTCACCAAAGCGATGGGTCATACCCTCTCGCATTTATCGAAGACATACATAAATTGATCAAGTTCAGGGGAAAATATCAACTGCTCGAAAATTTACCTCAGTCGCGTCGAATACCGATACTTTGAAATCAAATTGAAGCTCACCGAATGGAAATATAAAATGTAGCATCATGTGAGAATAACACATCATGTGCGCATGCCGTAAAAGGAACAAGCATGATAAATCTTAAATTTCTCTAATTACAAGTAAATCCCAATCAAACCAGACTTATAAACGTCTGAGGTCAGTATTTAGCATTGAATATGTATATTGACAGTTGTCTGTGCCAACTTTCGCCAAAAATTATTGTAAAATGAAGTACGAAAACAACATTTTTTTCTCTCTCTTTTTGTCTATAAATAAATGTGCACTTTGAAGAACCCTGCGTGTCCATCCGACCTAAATTTTTGGAAGAGCCAGAAAACTGTATAAAAATCACCTAAAACCAAATTAAAATGGAAAAGGAGCCCAGTGGACCTTAGAAGGGGTTTTGATCATGAGAAATAAAAAAAAAAAAAAAAAAAAAAAAAAAAAAAAAAAAAAAAAAAAAAAAAAAAAAACTAACCAGGGAGAGATGATTTTGGAAATCAATAAGTAAAGTTTTTCCAATTCATAGCTTAATTGGAACCAACACATATTCCTTAATGTTTCTTATCGGCAAAGAATATCACCTATGGACTTTCAGTAATTCGGAGCAGAGAATATTTTCTGCCAACAAAAGAATGTTCTGATGAGCTATTTCTCGCCGAGTGTCTACGGTATTCAGCTCTCTGCAGTATAGGTTGCAATTCCTCCCTCAGAGTAAAATTTATCTAAAGACAAAATGTGAGCCTCTAACTTGTGAAGTCCTGTAGATCATAAAATGGCAATAGTGCAGACAGTTTTGATAAAAAGTCACGATAGTTACGGCTGTAATACAGCCAAAGCTATACTTTCAAATTATTAGACATCAACCTTTGATTTTTTTCATCTAGAAAGAGAAATTACCATTATTTATATTTTATTTTGTTAATAAACTTGTACGGTTAGTTTGAACTTCATATTTGTACGTATATTTCTGTCAAACGGAACTATGTGCATAATGACGTGAGCCTTGTTATGCATATATTCTAAAGGGTCTCAAGGCTCATGTCTTAATGCACATTGTTCCGTTTGGCAGAAATACGTCCATTTCTAGATAGGATTAGTCAGGAAAACAGAATTTTTCGCAAATTTAATTTGCTTTTATGCATGAGAGTTAAATAATACCCAGAAGCACAGTATGGTATTGACTCATCGACACCCATTTCCAACGATCCATCGAGAGTAAAACAATCGAGTGATATCAAATAAATTAATTTTCTCCACTTCCTTTGAAAAAGAGATGATTCAGTGATGACAGGACTGATGAGGCACACCAAAAGACCATTTATCGAGGTCTACTCGCCGCTCGAACTCACCCCGCGGTAACGAAATCATATTTCGGCGGAGATGAAGTCTTAAATAATGCCGGTAAAATACGCGTCAGCAAACAGCTTTAGTCGCAGCGATCTTATAATTCGCCAGCCCAAGTTCAAAGGGACCACCGCGGAGGGAAGGAAAACCCCGCGCGGAAAAAGGGGAAAAGCGAGCAAAAAGAAAAGCTAACGTTACAATAATATTATGATAAGATGGAATAAGTGGTCTTAAGCTTTATGCGGGGGGAAGCTGTGGTGCCGGGGCGGAATGGTCGGGAGCCAGGAGAAAAAGGCGAAGTGGGATGCGAGGAGGAACCAGGAAGAAGGAGGAAGAAGGACGAGAGGACTCGTAAGAAGAAGGGAAAAAATAAAGTAAGAGTATGTCAAACACCCGGGACCCAGGACCCGGGACTCGGGGGTGAAGCAGGGGAGAACGGGCCAATCAGGGACCGGAGTTTTTCAGGACAGGATTGCCGGGAGGGAGCGAGAGGAGACGCGGCGGGACCCCGGAGGGATGGAGAGAGACGGGTAGAGGCGTGCACCCTCTTCGCCGAGCAGAGGGTGAGCTAGGCCCCGCCCCCGAGCAGGGCTATTAGATTCTTCTACCCGATAGGAAATTGAATTACAAAATAATCATTTGATTTTCAACCAAGTCTCATGCTGGTCTCAAGTATTCACTAATATGTCTTTATTATATCATATTGTTTTAACTTCTGTCTTCTTCTGAAACTTAATTTTTTCTTGTGCTTTTTCCTTCCGCCCCGCGCCGCGGCGGAGTGGCCATCTTTACCTTGGCAAATTTGATAAGGGATTTTCGAAGATTTTGCGTGGTGCGCCCTAAACGGTTTCGCGGAAAATTATTCGATTGTCGTATCCGTGTCCCGCGCCCCCTTCTTCCGAGTAATTCGATTTGTTTGAGGTGCGGATTGGATTATCGACTTAATAAGGATATCATTAGGATTTTTTCCTTCTTCCCGCCGACGTCGTTTAATTTGATTTTAAACGGATCGCGACCTGTGATTTAAGTGTCTCCTAGCCGTGCTTGCTTCCTTTTGTTTTCGGATGACGGATTATGTGTTAATTTCCTTCGGCTCGTTATCTTTGCAGCGGTAAAATAAGTTTAAGTGACTCACAACGTAATGACAATTCAATAAAAAGTTACGCTCGGAAAATCGTCAATTTCAGTTCGTTAATTTTCTGTCATTTTTTGTTCTTTATTTTCTTGAAGTACCTAAAAATGCGACAAATTTGCATTTCTTAGATCTGTGTATTTTGCAGTTATGCGATCTAATTTCCCTGCGTGTGCATTTTAGCTCCGAATTTTACTGGAAGTGCTACCATATTTCCAACAAATAAGAGATCATGTTTTTAAATATATGTGCGTGTCTGTGATATCCGTTAGTATAATTTTCGAGGAAAAACATTCGGATTGAAGCATTACTTCTCATCACTTAATTTCTGGACGATCCAAAAATCTTTCGAGTGCGGTTTATCGAACGGAAATATTTGTCGTGCGTCGTGACCTATCTCTCGGTGAGTTTAGAGTATTTACTTAACGTGTTTCGTGCACGGTTTTAATTATTCAATTAATTCGTCCAAAATTTCCGGCTCAACGCTGAATTCGTACTTTCCGATGATGGATTACTCGTATCTAAACCAGGCGGCCGCTGGGTTCGACGCCTCTAGCTGCTCTCTGGCAGCTTCCGGAATGGACCACACTGGACTAGGGACCTACGGTGACCTCACGTCTTGCAGTCAGATGACCCAGTACAGGTACTCGATGGCCCGATCTTACAATCCGCCTCCTGGAGGTCACCACTTGGGGTCAAGTGCCGCCTCGCCGAGTGCCGTCATGTGCGCCAGAACCCACCAGGATCACCATAGACCCACCTCCATGTTCCCGTCAACCATGAACCTACAAAGTAAGGGCTGCTTTAAATTTTAGTGATAAGAGAACAGGGTGTAATAACCCGACGCAACGAGAAAATACAAGAAAACTAACCAAAGAATAGATCTGACACAGCTAAATGGGAAAAAACACAGCCAGGACGTCTCTAGTCAATGGGGCCCTAGACAAGGTACAAACACGAAAAAAATTAAATTACTGATTTAACAATTTAATTGCTGAAAAAAGTGACTGCAATGTTTCCACGTAGATTTCACAACACAAAAATGCTACCTTGACCACCCCCGTGGTTCAATCAGCTTACAATAATGGTTAAAGTAGCATTTTTTTGTTGTAAAATCTACGTTGAAACATTGCAGTCACTTTTTTTAGCAATTGAATTGTTAAATCAGCAATTTAATTTTTTCCGTGTAATTAAAACACCACGAAAGATGTTTTCTCTTCAAAATTTTACGACAAAAACGAATCGCGCAAAGGAAAGTCTGAAAATAAAATCCTAATTGAGATACAAGTGCTTGCAATCAACATTGGTTAAATGGCAAAAAAAACAAACAGTATACTCGAACTTCCATTTGACCCTTGTTAAAAATATTTCCTAATATCTTGCTCAGGAGTTGTTTTCCGAAACACTCGTTGCACGATTCGTTTTCCATGAAAATTTTTTAAGAGAATTCATGTGACGATAATTTCTAGTTCAGACCCTGTCTAGTGGTCCATTGCATGCCCAGCCTCAACTGCGGAAAAATAGCTAAAAGTCAACGAATTCAAACAAGAAGGTTAGCACGCGACGGACCGAGATAGGAATCAGTGCGCGAGGTATTGAGTTTGCACTGATTCCTTCCTCGGGAAGTTGCAATCTCATTTTCTTGTTTGAATTTTTTTTTTGCTTATAGCTTTTTTTCCGGCATGCGGCCCCGAGAAAAACGGCTGCAAACTTATGATTCTGTTTTTTCGCCTTCAAAAAAAGTGTAAGCAATTTTCACGACTTAGAAGTTAGAATAGTTGCTCTATGGGTATTTGGACCTCATTAACTAAATCTTCTGATTCAAAGGGGGGTAAGTATAATGGCGAGTTTGCATTTTCGGCTTCAACAAAAGGTCGCTTGTTAAACACTGCTCTTCAATAAAATATTTGTACCACTTGACTCGTTAACATCCTAAAACTTTCATCATACATTATAAAATACAAGTTAAATTTTATCTTTATAGAAGGCGACGATTATTGCTATCTATTGATATAATCTGCGAGTTGAGAATGGACAATGGCAATGGCAACGGACATGCAATTGGCTCGAAAACATCCTGACTGTGTTTAATTTTCATTCGCCTTTGGTATACCAATTTTTAATCTAGTTTTTTGTATATTTCATGTCTTAATTTTAATGGAAAAATACCTAGGTTGGATTTTTGTAGGGCCAAATTTTCAGAACCTAACAGATAATTATTTAAAATGATTACAAATATACATCTTGGTAGCTACAAAATGTTATCAATGAGATGATTTAAATTTATTTTTTTTTGTTTCTTGCAGAAAAAATATAACAGGCAACTGGGGGCGAAATGCGTAAATATATATCGAACAATTTTCGGCTATAACTTGAAAATGAGTTAAATATTTTAAGCACTACGACTAATAAAATCTCTAGGGAAAGCCGGAGGTTCAGACTAAGTATATGTATATCTATCATTTGGTCTAAAGAAATCGCTAAAAAAAATATGCAATGTAGAGTAATCGGTATACAAGTAACAAAAGAAATTAAATTTGATAGTTTTCCTTCTTTTCTTAGAAGAGGATCAGTTGATGTTTCTTGCAAACGTTTCACGTAATGTCGAACCACATCAATGAGATTATTCACGGGGGTTACCAATAGGACGAAGCAACGTAATTTTCTGTGGAAAAAAAGATAAATTGCGGAAGAAAACTATTGAAAAATTACTGAAATCAATTTTGACAACCTAGGATACCTGGAAATTGAAATCAATAAATTGTTCTGTCGATCTCTTAGTTAAATTAATACCATTTAATTTTCATTAATTTTATTTTAAAAACTCCCGCGTATAATGTCTTTCATTTACACATGATGCGCAGATTAGTATGTTTTCAAGCTATTTCGAGAAAGATACTTTAGACATTTCGATTCTAAATGGTTAAATTGTTAAACTGCATTTGTTAGTTCACCAGATGATTATTACATGATATAACATTAGGTGCTTCAAATAATGGAGCAAGTGTGATTTAAAATCTTGAGATTTTTACGATTGATATCGGTACTTCAAGTTCTCGTGCTCGGGAAATTTCCGTTTTTTAAATGATACCAAGAGATCCACTGAACCGATTTCCTTGATATTTTAGCTATCGGTACGTTACGGTTTCCAGATGAACCCACTATCTTCAAATTTTCAAACTATGACCCTCGTTAAACGATCTACTCAAAACGTGGAGCACTTGTTTGGGGTTGGCTCACATAGTGGTCAGGGAGGAGCTATCAGGGACTTAATAATTAGTAATGAATCCAAATTCGATCCATCAGTTGAAAATATATCACAAAGTACGTATTCCGAGGTATTCTGTTAAAATTACGCTCATCGATGGTTTTAGGCAAAAATATTTCCTCTCCTTTTAAAATAATATATTAGATTCGGATTAAGATTACAAAAAATGTGACTTCCAAAACTGAGACACCAATCAAGCTTTAATAAAAAAAACATCAAGAGAAAATGCACCACATATTCATGGTAAAACTCACTCTCTCTTCTCAATTTCTCTTTATTTTTCTCGGAAAGTCGGCCTTTAAAATTGAAATTAACTGGTTATGTTCTGTTAATTAATTTATATTAAATCATGTAAATTAATTTGGGAATATTGCGGGGACATGTAAAAGGAAAATGTAAAGGAAAAGGAAAGTTTGCTATCAATTTTGAAATTTAAAACTCTATACGTCGGAAACTTCTGGTGAAAGTCGTTTCTTCGTTTTTCTTCGTGTCTGCGTTTTTCTCGGTGTTCAGATAGTTTAATTGCTTCAATTTTTTGAAAGTGCGATACTTTAATAACGGAAAGAACATACATATCGATGGCAAAAATGCGGAACCACGTATCTCCGTTTGCGACGTTGCAGACTTCTGTCATACTCTATTTTCTCCTTTGGTAAAATAGTTAACGCGACTTCTTGAAAATTGCCTTGATTTTTCTTCTCTGTATGCAGAATATTCTACATATAAAAACTTCAAGCTATATAGTCGGCTTATTTCTGTACGAAAAATAAATTAGGAGTAGACATTTTGAAACACCGCAATGGAGATACGTAGTGTCACACTTTAGCCATCATCATACAAGATTAACAAATGTTTCAAACAGCATTTTCCTTCCTGAAAATTCTGATCCGAAACAGACATCCCCAGTGTAACGAGCTCATCATGGAGAGACTCTTTGCTCTTTAAGACAAAGTGCCCAGAGGCCAGAGGCTTAAAGATCCCCCCCCCCCCCCATTGAGACCGATTGACGATGACAAAAATAAAAATCTTCTTACTGAAAAATGCGCCCTACTAAAACTTCAACTAAACTAAACCTCTTCTTCTAACTATAAAAGTTCATTCCTACGGCTTCAATTTTAATCAACTTCGTAGGAGACTTTTTGGGTCAGCCGTGCGAGGAGATTCTGGCGCTTTCTAGTGTCTACACGGACTCCCAGTTATTCCACCGAGCCTATGACAAATGGGCGCAGTTACTTGAAATAGTGCAGCTAAAGACCCACCATAAAAGGGGGCAGTTGGCTGGTGGTTGGTGTGTAGTTTATGGCACGACATGAGCCGGGGTCGCTTGTTGCGTTTGCCTGACAAACGAGGCCTGTCATTCGCTACATTTTCGAATCTTACATTTCGCACCATCTCTCACACGACTAACAAGTGGTTCGTCCTAACCCTCGTGCCCTTCACCAGCCCTCATCATAGCAACTACTTGTATCCAATTTTTTTCTCGCATCATTTTTCATGCCTTCGCCTAGCTCTATTTTTTAATATATCGAATAGCCATTTGGGGTTTCATCCATATTTTTATCGCGCTTTATCAAATCAAATCGTTGCTTGGCTAACATAAGGGCGTAACTACAAATTGAGATGAGCCCGAAAAAACACTGGATTGTATGGAGGACGGGGTTCATTGCTGAGTGTAGTTACGCCCATATGTCAGGAAGGCGACGAAATGTACGGCATGTCCGTGGTCATTCTTTGAGTCACCGACAATCATGTTTACACACAGAGAGACGTAGGGAAATCTTTCCTAAGTGAAGAAACTACCTCTCAAAATATTTCTAACGCATGAAATTGGGTGTGTTCAAATAAGATTTAACTTTGCTGTGGTCCCTATTTTTGTCGCAGAGCCAAACGCCTTGCACGGTGATTTGTACATTATTTCTGAACCATTATTTTCAGTTATAAAATAATATGTAAAAAATATAAACACGGGGATAAAACTAACCTCATTTGTGAAAATTTATCGTCTCTAGCCGAACTATGGCGAAAAATGTGATGGATTGCCTTTACCTGCGGCCTGCGAATTAAGAAATCATAGTGAAAACTGAAAAGTATCACGCTTAATTTATGGGAAACAACAGGAAGATTGATTCGCCTTCAATTAGAGAGGGTAGGCACAATGAGTCCCCGCAAGCTCGAATAGTGGTATTCAACGCCTAACCCAGCACATTGCTAGGTAGGATCCTCTCGCTTTCAATTTTTGGCAAAGATCCCGAGAATTCCGCGACCAGAAAAGTCTCCTAAAAACGTTATTTTGTATCACAGGAGCGTGAAGTAAATTGTAGCCATTAGAAGAGACTTATTACTATCTTTCACGATGAAAAAATTGAGTATTTTTTCGTCATTCAATCAAATTTTGAACGAAGAACTTCCATTGGACTCACATGTGTGTTTATTTTCCTTACTATCATACGTTTTCCTCCTGATTTCCGATGCGTCTTAACTCTGTGCATAAAATACATATCGACACTTTATAGCGCGAAACCAC